GGGAGAAGTGCCCCGTGTCTCTGACTTTTGCGGGAGAGCGGAGGAGCTCGCTAACCTCCTCTCTCTACTCATCGGCTCCCTCCCGGCCGGCTTAGACGTTTCCCTCCTCGAGCAGGAAAAAGATTTGAAAAGAATGGAAAAAAACTCCAACAACAACAAAATAAAATGGGGGGAAAGTCTTCCCCCCGGGAGACCGCGCTCCGATCGGGGCCGGCGAGCAGCGCCTTTGAACATTAGCTCGCTTTCAGCTCCACTGCAATTAGAGGGAGTTGATTTGGGGAGACCAACAAAAGCCGCGCTCCGGAGCCTCTTTAGAGGTCCGGGGCCGCTCCGCCGTCTGCGCGGCCGCCGCGCCCCGACCCCGCCGCCCCGAGCGAGGAGTGGAGCCCCGCGGAGCGGCGCGCAGGGCCCGGTGTCACCGAGCCCCTCTCCCCGCCGCTCCCGTGCGGGCCCCGCCCGCTCGCCCCCCGCCGTTCGTAGCAGCCCCTAAATTCGGGGCACACGGGGAAAGGTGCGGTCGCTGTAGTTTTATTGGGATTTTAAAGCACAAAGTTCGGGAGAGCCCGCGGGCATCGGGATGGGGGGGGGCGCGACACCGCCTCCCCTCCTCTGGAGCTCCCTCCGTGCCGGCGGAGGCGGCGGCCGAAACTTTTCCTGCGGTCTCCCCGGGCGGCAGGGACGCGCAGGGCGGCGCGGAGCGGCGTGGGGGGCATCCCGAGGGAGGGAGCAGAGCTGCGCGGGCCCCCCCCGCCCCTTCCGCACTCCTCCAACAATTCCCACCACCCGCCCTCTCCGCGGAGGTTGCGCGGGGCCCCGCACGCCCGCCCCCCGCACCCCTGGCTCCGCCGGCCGGCGCTCCGCGGTGCCGGGGTCGGTGCGCGGGGGAGCGCGGAGCGGCGCGGGGCGGTGCGGAGGAGCCGTCGCCCCGCGCTGCCATTGCCCGGGCGGCTGTCAGTCAGGCGGGGAGCGGCCGGGGATTGGCGCCGGGCTGGTTACGCAGTTGCTTTGCGCGCACATACAAGGGTAGGGCCGGGGGTAGGTGATCAATCCTCATCAGGGCCGCGGCTCCATCGCCCCGACAGCGCGGGCCGCCGGCAAGGTAACGCGGGGCACCCCGACAAGTCGGGGGTGCTCGGCTCGGCTTCGGGCAGCGCCCCCCCGGCCCCCCTCCCCAGCCCGCCTCTCACCTGCCTGCCCCCCTCGCTCCCTCCCCCCGCCGCGCCCCCTCCGCGCCCCCCGCCCGCTCCGCCCCGCGCTGCCCCGCGCAGCCCCCGCCGCTGCCGTCGGGCGGGCGCTCAGTCGCTCCGCAGGTGGCCGCGCAGGTGAGGCGGGCGGGGGCGGTGGGCACCGCGCTCACCGACGGGGCGGGCGGCGGCGCCGGGACGGAGCGTAGCGGGCCCGCGGCGCCGTGGGCAGGGGTGGTGAGCACGGCCGGGTCTGGGCCGCTTCGGGATTTTTTTCTTCTTCCCTCTCTTCTCCACTTTTATTTCCCCCCTCTTCCCCGCTCTCTCCTCCCGGGACGAGCCCGCTCCGCCGCGTCCCTGACAAAGTTATGCAACGCCGGGTCCCGGCGCTGCCACCCGACCTGCTCCCGGCCCCGGCCTAGGGGGACACCGCGAACCCCGCCCGGCACCCCCCGCTCCGCGGTGCCCCGCTCCCCCGGCTGGGGGGGGAGTTCTCTCAGCCTCGGCAGCGGGGGCTGCCCCCGGGGCTCGACGGGGCCGCCCGGGGTCTCTCCGGTCCTTCCTCTCCTCCGCCTTATTTTGCTCCCGAGCCCTGGCGCTGCCGGGTCTCTCGTGTCGTGTCCCCCCCGCCGGCCCTGCCGGAGCCCCCCGGGCGGGCCCCGCCGCCGTCCCGTCCCGGCTGCCCGCGCTGTCGCCCGCTCGGCTGCCGGCGCGCTCTTTTTTCCTTTTCCCCTTTTTAACTCTTATCCATTTCTAATTAAAACGTCCCCGTCTGCTCGCTTTTAAATTAATTATACTTCCCTCCTCTGATACCTCCTTTTGATTCCTAATCCAATTATCTTTTTAAATAATTGCTTTATCTCTCCCGATCGCCGGGCACTGTTGCCGCTCGGCACTTGCGCGCGACTCGCCTTCGTTTAAAATAAAATAATAATAAAATTAACAATCGGAAGCCTCCCTGGCGGAGCCCCCGCGCCGGGTGGGCGCAGCCCCGCGGGAGCCCCCGGCAGCACTCGGGCGGCGAAACCTCACCCGCTTCTCTCCGCTCTCTCCCCAGGCGCTCCGGCCTCGCCTCTACGCGGGGAAGAAATCCGCCTGTTTCTCGATCCTCGTTGTTATTTTGATTTTTTTTTCCTTCGTTTTTATTTTTCTCTCACTTCACCTGCGATCTCTCGAGGACTTCGTGGCGGTGACGGCGGGACGGAACGAAAAAAATTCCTTTCACACCGACTTTGTGCTCCGTTTTTTAATAGTCGTTGGCTTAGAAATATTTTTTTGCCTCTCGTTTGGGTATTTTTTCGGGGGCTCTTTTTGTCAGTGTTTTTTTTTTTTTTCCCTTTCATTTCCCCCTTCCCTACCCCACACTTTCGATTTGATTTTTTTTTTTTTCCTGCGGGACTTTGGAGGAAAACTGCCCGGCTTCTAGCATGATGTCTTACCTCAAACAGCCTCCTTACGGCATGAATGGGCTGGGGCTCACGGGCCCCGCCATGGACCTGCTGCATCCCTCCGTGGGGTATCCGGGTGAGTGCCGCGCACCGTGGGCCCCCCAGTCCCCCATCCTCCCGCAAGCAGAGGGGGAAAACTTCCCTCCCTTGCGGGTTTGGAGGAGCTGGTGGGGCCGTGGGGTTTAGGGTGGGTTGTGGGCTGGTTGTTTGCCTGCACTCCTGCCTGGGGACATTGGGGTCTAGCTGAATTTCCGCCTGTTTCACCCCTGGGGTGTCTTCGTTATCCCAGGGATATTTAAGGATAAAGAACTTTCAAATTGAACAAAAAACCAAAAAGTAATTAATTTCGACACAACGAAATCTCCCCGTAGTTCCCGCTGGAGCCAGGCCTGACCCTTCTCCAGCCCTGTGCCCCTCGCCCTGCCCGCAGCGGGACGGGGTCCGGCAGCGTGGGTGTGCGGGGACACTGCTGCTCTTCGGGGTGCGCCTCAGGCCCCTGGCCCGGGGTCCCCGGGGCTCCCCCCGTGCCGGGGAGTGCGGGAGGTGCGTGGGGGCCCAGCGTGACCGGCGCTCATCCCGCAGCCACCCCGCGGAAGCAGCGGCGGGAGCGCACCACCTTCACCCGTTCGCAGCTGGACGTGCTGGAGGCACTCTTTGCCAAGACACGCTACCCTGACATCTTCATGCGGGAGGAGGTCGCCCTGAAGATCAACCTGCCTGAATCCCGAGTCCAGGTACCCGACCTGCGTGGGGGAATCCTGCACCGCTGTGGGATGGGGGATGCAGAACCACCCCAGCTCAGCGGGTGCTGTGCGGACCGGTTGCTCCAACCACACTTATCCCCGTTTCCTCGGGACACGGATGCGTGGGGGTTCCCATCTGCTTGTCTGTCCCACTGTGGGGACATTTGGCCAAAGAGGAAGCATTTATCTTTAATTTTTTATTCTCTTGTGTTACTTTTATTTTTATTAATATTTTTCCGTCACCCTCCACCTGCTCCAGGGCACAGCAGCCCTACCACCTGGTAGGTGCTTCCCAGAGATATTCCCTTTGGGCAAGGGTCAATGGATACCCTGGGGGTTGGGATATGCAGGCAGCATCCGACGCAGAATTTGTCCCCCAAATCCATATTTTGTCACTGTGCCAGGGTTATGCACGAGCTGGGACGCTGCAGCCTTTGACCCTGGCCATCCTTGCTTTTGGCAGGCTGCGGGGTGGCCGGGTTGCCGGGCAGGGCTGGGATGATATTTGGGGGTGTGAGGAGTGCGCAGTGTTGGTGTTGGTGAGCACTAGGAGAACCGGTGCCAGGGTGAGGGTGGCTGGGTGCTCGCAGGCTGAAGAGCCCCTTCCTGGGGCTGTCTGGGGCCCTGCTCACCCCGCCACGCTCCTTGCTCCCCTGCACCCCGTTTTCTCCCCGCAGGTCTGGTTCAAGAACCGCCGCGCCAAGTGCCGGCAGCAGCAGCAGAGCGGCAGCGGGGCCAAGAGCCGCCCGGCCAAGAAGAAATCGTCGCCCGCTCGGGAGAGCTCGGGTTCGGAGAGCAGCGGGCAGTTCACGCCGCCGGCAGCGGCCTCCAGCTCCGCCTCGTCTTCCTCCTCCAGCTCGGCCTCCTCAGCCCCGGTGGGCGCCCCGGCCTCTCTCAGCACCCCGGCATCGTCCATCTGGAGCCCGGCTTCCATCTCTCCCGGCGCGGCTCCCGCGGGGGTGACGGTGCCCGAGCCGCTGCCGCCGGCCGCCGCCTCCCGCATGCAGCGGGCCGGCCCCGCCGCCTCGGCCGCCTCCGCCTCCTACCCCGTGTCCTACAGCCAGGGCGGGGGGTACGGCCAGGGCTACCCCGCGCCGCCCTCCTCGTCCTACTTCGGGGGCGTGGATTGCAGCTCCTACCTGGCGCCCATGCACTCCCACCACCACCCCCACCAGCTCAGCCCCATGGGGCCCTCCTCGGTGCCGGGCCACCACCATCACCACCCGCTGAGCCAGAGCTCGGGCCACCACCACCATCACCACCACCACCACCACCACCAAGGTTACGGCGGCACGGGGCTGCCCTTCAACTCCTCCGACTGCCTGGACTACAAGGAGCCCGCCGCTGCCGCCGCTGCCTCCTGGAAGCTCAACTTCAACTCCCCCGACTGCCTTGACTACAAGGACCAGGCGTCCTGGCGCTTCCAGGTCTTGTGAGGGACCGGTCACCGTCCCCCCCAAGCTGCCACTGACCCCCGACCCGGGGACTCCCCACCGCCTCCTCCTGGGCAGGACTCTGGCTGCTCCTCCTCCTCCTCTTCCTCCCTCTTCGTTAGCAGTGGCGATGCCCTGGGGAGGTCCTGCCGCCCCCATCTCTACTGACTGATATTTATTTGCTTCCTGCACCACTCCACCAGGTTTATTATAATTATTATTTTTTTAAACGCAACAGAAGAGGAGTTTAAAAAAAAAATGAAATAAAAAAAAAGGAAAATTAAAAAGCCTAGCGTGTCCCCTGCTGCCCCCCGGGCAGAGGCGCAGGCTGGCTCCTGCCCTGCCAGTGCCCCCCCAGCTTTGTGCGGGGACCCTCAGCCCCTGCGGGTGCGGAAGCCCCGGCTCGCCAGTCCTGTACAGCCTCTTGCCGCGGGGAGCGGCGGGACTGATGTAAATACTCGGTCCGTTCCAGTGACCACGATTATTTTTAGTTGATGCTGTTGGGTTGGCATTTATCTAGAGTCTAACATGGGACAGAACGTAAAAAAAAAAAAAATAAAAGAAAAAAAAAAGAAAAAGAAAAAAAGAAAAAGAAAAAAAAACTTTTTAAATTTCAATTTTCTTCCCTAAAAAAAAATGAATATTTCCCAGTCTCATGTCCTCCGTCCATCCTCGAGGGCTCTGCACAAGCTTGGCTGTGCCGTCCTGGGGCTGAGGGTGAGAGGGGAGGCAGCAGCCATGAGAGGTGCCCAGAAGGGAGGCAAAGAGGGGGGGAAAGGCTGTCCAGCTGATCCGAAACCTGCAGACAAAAAAAACCCAAAACTTTTGAAAAAAAAAAATAAAAGGAAAGAAAAAAAAAGCTGGAAAAAAAAAGTTTTGGTTTATTTTTTGGGGGGAGGGTTGCAGGGATAAACAGCTCTGGTTTGGGGCTGGGGAGGGGGGCACGCACGGCTTTCTGGAGTGTGTTTTTTGGTTTGGTTTTCGTTTTGGTTGTTCCGAGCCCCCTGTGTCGGTCGGTGCGTTGTGGCGGGTCGGGGCTGCAGCCCCGCGTTCCTGCTTCCCCCGCCTGGGCTGGCGCTTCCCGGCAGAGGGGACAGGGACAGCGTACGTGTCACTTTTGATGCCGTAACCCCTTCAACTGTAAGGCAACCCCCCTCCTTTCTTCCCGCCCACCCCAATAAAATCTAAACTAATAAATGTAGTGTTGTCGTGTCCTCCTTCCTCCCTCCCGCCTCATCTTCCTCATAAAACTTCCCCGGTGGGAGTGAGGGGGTCCCAGCAGGATGGGGATGCGTGTGATGAGTTTGCGAGTGCTCTGGAGGGAGGACCCATTGTCGCTTCTGTAGGTGCGGGCTGGGGACTCGTTCTTACGTTAATTGACTCTTAATTGGTTACGGATTTATTGGTGCCCCGTGGTGCCGATGGGGCTCACGGGACGGGCAAGCGCTGCCCGGAATTGCGATTTTCCCCCAAGGTCGGTGGCGCAGCCCCCAAACTCGGGACCCACGGGCGGGCCTGGGTGAGAGGGCCGCTCGGACATCCAGCCGGACCTCTGTCCCTCTGTCCCTCTGTCCCTCTGTCCCTCTGTCCCTCTGTCCCTCTGTCCCTCTGTCCCTCTGTCCCTCTGTCCCTCTGTCCCTCTGCGAGGGTTCGGCACCTGCGCTTCCAGCCCCGACTCCCGACTGTACCGTGGTCAGCTGCTGCCGGCTGCGGTCCAGCCAAGGAAGGCAGGGAGAAGAATTTTTTTCCCGTGACAATTTTCCCCTATTTTTATCTCCCCCCAGACCTTCCCTTCAGTTGTTGGAGGCTGCCTGTTGGTGCTGGGGCTGTTCCTACTCGCACAGGACCGGGAACGTGTGGACCCGCGGGCCACGGCTCCCCTGCTTGGGGCATTGATGCGATTCTCGAGGAGCATCCCCAAATCCCCACCCTCCTCCCCGTGGTCCTGCAGTAATGCCCACCGCATCTGGAAGCTCCGGGTGTGTCCCCACCGCTGGTGTCCCCAGGCAGCCTCGGGCAGTGGGGACCGCTGTGGGGTGAGGGATGCCAGTGCTCCCTGCGCCTGCTTTGGGGAGGGTTTCACATCCCCCCTCCCGCACCGCCTGCCCCCGCATCCTGCTGGAGAGCCAGCGGGGCTGGTGCTGCGGTGCTGCGGCGGGAGAAGAGTGGGATCAGCCCCAGGATTCACCCGCGCCAGCCCCCGTGCAGCTTTCCAGGGTGGTGGCCGTGGCAGAGCCCCGAGGCGGAGATGGCCTCCCGCACCCTTCGGCGCAACAGGAGATGTGGGAGGGGACGAGTGACTGAGTCAATGTTAGGGGATTTTTCTTTTAGGTGGTTCTTTTCCTTGTCGTCTCCTTCTGTGGATATATACAGATAATATGTAAGTATTTAAAAAAAAAAAATGTATCTATACCTCTACTATAAAATAATTGTTTTCTTCTGCAATCACCAAAGTGTGGCTGTACAGGCAGTTTGAGCGAGGGCCACCTGTGCTGGCTTCGGGTGCATCAGCCTATGCATCCCCAAGCCCTTCCTTTAAAGAGGAAAAAGTTAACACAGCGCTCCTGGGGCTGGGGAAAAAAAATAAATCTGTGCTGGGCACAAAATGAACCAGAGTTGCCCTCCCAGATTTAGTAAGCACATGAGAGATAAGATCCAGCAGGTTTATAACACACAATCCCTCTGACACACACCTTTTGTCTTCTTCAAACAAAAATGATGCACACTTCATCCTCCTTATAAACTGTGTTCCACTATAACTCAGAAAATCAGTGATGCTGAGACACAGCCAAGAGGGGAGCCTGAATTTTGTTTTTGGTGACATGGTCCTAAACTTCTTCATCCAGTGCCCCACAGTAGGGCTGGGCCAGGGCTCTGCTTTGGGGTGTTCCAAGGGATCCCCTCACTTTCCCCCCCACCCCGATTTAGGCACCAGAAACACCAGGTGCCACTGCTCAGTGGTTTATCCAGCAACTCCCACACTGCAGTCTGGGCATTTTCCTGTCCCACTCACACAGACTCAGACCATGGTGTTGAAGCTGGCTGCTGAGCACAGGTGGCTTTGGAGGCACAGAGGACACCTGGTCCACATCACACCAAATCACGGCTGTGTCCTCAATTCTTGGCTCCAATTCAATTTTTGTTTCAATTTTTTTTTCCAGTCACTGCCAGCAGGGCAGATAAGATTTGACTCCCACCTGTCGGTGAGTGAGCACGGGCTGGGAAGGGTCATGCCTGGGTTTGGGGGAGCCCAGCACCCTCCCTGTTTTACAAACTTCTCCCACTGTGGGCTACCTGAAGGCTGGCACAGGCATTGCCACCCCGAGCACGAGTCATGGCAGGTAAGGTGGCACGGTGCCTGGTGCCCGGCTCCAGGGGCAGGCGCCAGCAGGATTGCCAAGCTTTTTAGGGCAACCCGGTTCTGAGAGAGCTGCCTACTTGGCTCGTGCCTCACCTCTCCAGCAAGAAGGCTGCTGGGTGTATGGCTACCATGATTTTTTTATTTTTTATTTTTGTTTTTATAAATGAAAATCGCTTGATGATGGAGCACGGAGCTGCCGGGGGCTGCGGCTGCAGTGCCGAGGGCTGGGTCACCCCCGGCAGCAGCACCCGCCCCTCCCGAGTGCCAGAAGCTGCCTCTGCCTGCTCCAAACCTGGGGCTTTCCTGCCAGGAACTGCAGGGTTTGGGGTGAGCAGGAGGGGAGACAGAGGGGAGATCATTCCCCAGCTTGGGCTGCCCTTACCTTTTATGCTGGTGCTTTCACAGACCTGGAATAATCCATGACCTATTTGCTCCGCCCTGAGTCGTGTCCCTGCTCTGCTGTAGAACCCCTGAGTGTGGCAGGGAGCTGGGACAGGTGGTGATGGGAACACCTTTAGTGGGCAGAGGCTGGACAAGTTTGCTGCCAGCTGGGGTGACCAACTCCTCTTTTGGGTGCAGGAGGTGCTTTGGGAGCCCAAACCATTACGGCCGAGCATGACTTAAATTATTGAAGAATTATGGCTAAAAATCCTGTTGTAAGTTTCAGAAGTTGTGCCCACTAACACGACTTATTACAGTTATTTTGTAGGCAGCCTTCCTGGCAGGGAGCAGAGAAAACAGGTGATTACAGCTGAATAAGGAACCACTGGTTTGTGGTTTTCCCTGCGCTGACCTCCGTGTTAGCCAGTCGCTGCTAATTCATACACTTTGAGCAGCAATTAATGCACATAAAATCCCATGTTGGTTCCAAACCTGGTTTTGATTTTGTCAGTGAAAAGTCTGCAGGTGAACCTCCCATCTGAGGAAGCTGCTGTACTGGAGAGCTCTCCTTTCATGTCGAACTGCCACTGCTGAGCACAAAATGCTGTGGGGAAGGAGGAGGGTGAAAATGGTCACAGGGTTGAAGCCTAAAGGGAAACATCTGCCTATTTCCACTTAAATCCCTATTCAACACTTTTTAATTTATTTTTTTTTCCTGGACAGACAGGACTTTTCCAAGAAAACCATGTGGGGATATTTTTTTATGAAAAACTACAATTTTAGGAAACAGCATTCTGGACCTTATGTACATTTCTAGTATCACTTCCTGTATATTTTTAAGCTGAAATCCTCTTAGCATGCAAAGTAAATAGATTATGATATACTGAAGGATTAAGAATCACTGTCTGGTGTCAGATTAATCCCTCATATAGACCATCACTTGTACTGACAGAAATATGGCTGCAATTCAGCAAAATAGCTGTATGGCAAGGCGATGTGTCGCAGCCTCTTAGGCAGAACAAGCCCCCCGTCACCGCGGTCCAGCGCCGTGCCCTGCCTTTTCCAGAAATTCAATTTCAATCCGTGGGACATTAAAGGCATGCTCCTCTGCAAGCTCAGCCCTCACTGCCTCGGCTCTGCGTGGGGAGGCGAGGCAGCAGCTGCTCTCTTTATTTGTTTCTCCCTGTTGAGCGTACAAAACCCTACGGGCTGCAAACCCTTGTCTCCCTTCAAACCTCAAACCAAAGTGTCTCTTTCGAATACAAGTGTGGAAAGGTGTAGGTTGGGATGGAGTGCCGAAACAGTGCAGCCAAAATCACCCATCAGGCAGCAGAATTGTGACTCATAAGGGGAAAATGGACCGTAAATATTTTATTTGTGTAAAAGCAGAATTTCTGTTAATGAAACACTTCTAATGGCTTGTGGGTTTTGGGGTTTTTTACATTTCATTCTCAGTCCATCGTACAGATTTGTTCACCGCATAAAACCAAATTCAAGAAGCTCTCCGGCTTTGCGTCTCGACCACCCAGTGCTCCCCAGAAGGCTCAAGATTAACCCACATATGTGCCTATGACAGAGCTCAAAATATCTGTGTCTGTACACTCTGCGCTCCATCAGGTGGTGGGAGGAGGACCCACGATGATGCTCGCTCCTCTTCACTGCCAGAAAAAAAATAGAGAGGGCTGGCACAGGTTCCCTTCTCAGTGCATTTTCTCTTTGTGGTTAGAGGAGGCAGATTAAAATCTGGACTCCAATGGAATGATGCTTAAGAGGCTCCGCATCTTTTTTTCAAGGCAAAATAATGGTTATTCAACTAAGATGATATATCTAGATATGAAAATTGAGAGCATTCTTTGAAAAATGCTGCTAACTGTGAAAGGCTGCTCTTTCACAGAGGTATCCTGAGTGAAGATCTTATCTGCTGGTATCTCAATAGGACGGTTTTCAGAGCCTTAAGTGGAAATTCAAATCTGCTTCCAAGTGAAGATTGTAAAAACATATAATGCATAGAGAATTACAGACTTTCTCCTGAAAAGCTTATGGATTCATCCAAGACACCCCACCAAATTTTTCAGCATTGAGTTGGTACAGTAAATGGGGATCGGCGATTACTCGCTATTTTTGACGTCTTTGATGAAAATGTCACCAAGTTGCCCTCCACAAGCAAACACAGGGCACTTTGTGCATGGACATATCAATATGAACTCAGAAATAATTTGGAGGTCTAAGAACAGGATATTTTCTAAGCCTGGTGTTTTGTCATCTGCCGGTGGTCAGATCCAAGGCTGGCTGGAAGTTCGCCGAAGGACTTCCCGTGAACTTCACCACCTTGGTGAGGTTTCCTCTTCTCTGCTTTGGCAGCTCAGTCACACCAGCCCAAAGTGCACGATTTGGAGAGACCTGCTGTCTCCAGTCTCCTGAGGGGGAAAGACAGGCAGGATCAGGCAGGCTGCAGGGAGAGGCACAGGGGGATGGAAACACAGGTATCAAAATACCACCCGACCCAGGGAGAAGAGACAATTGTAGACACTGTCCCACTTTGGCCTGGGAATGAAGGATATAGCCCCAAATGGTGAAGACTGGCTTATCATTCAAGGTAAGGCATTTCTCATCTGTTTTTAAGCCACTTCACACCCCCCTTCCCCTGCTGTTCTTGGGAAAACCAGGGGCTGCAGCTCCAGGGACCGTGCATTGCATGGTGTCCCCTGGGATGTGAGGGGTTGGCAGCTGTGGCTCCACCTGCCTTTGAGACTCACCTGGTGCTTGGAAGCTTATTGGCAAAAGAGAAACTTTAGGTTTTTGTTACCTTTAATTAGGCTGGGTTAATGCCAGCCTGTGGCCAGCCAGGTTTTAAAGTGGGGATGGCATTTTGCATTCCTCACACAATGCAAATGCACGATTTAAGCACAAATCCTTGTCCTGCATTCTGTGCCTGTGCAGGGTGGAAGCCTGAGCCCTCTGGTTTTGCAAAGGACATGGTGATGGGGAGAATGTATGCCACCAGCAGAGGTTATTTCATAACCTGGGCTAGCGTGCCTGCGAAATGCATGAAATGCTTTGCCTTGGAAAGCGATGTAGTCTAGTGAGTCATTGCTTTCTTTTGAATTACAGATGAGTAGCCAGCTCTTCATGATGCAAAGAAAAAAACTAGGTGTGGAGCTGGAAACAAAGGGAAACGTGTGTTTGTCCTGTCTCAGAGGGCAAAACACACTGGCTGGCGTGGGAAGAGGGGGTGAGCTTGGCCCCAGAAGGTGGCTGTCAGGGCTGTGTCAAGGCTGTGGGAGCACTGGTGAGGATGGACAGGGCTCATGTCAGTGACTCCCTGGCTCCTTGACTTCAGGAAAGATGAAAAAAAAAAGAAAATCTCCTAACTCTTGAAGCTTCACAAGGAACCTTTACCAGAGCAGCAGCTCCATCTCATGGCATGTGCACTTCACCACAGAGATAGAGATCTCCCTCTAAAACTGCATTCCCTCCACGACTTCCCTACCTCAGCTTGGAGGGAACAGCAAAACAGCAACAGCTCCAAACAAGCTGTGTATGGACACTGAGCTTCCAGCCCATGGCTTGGCTCTTCCCTTGCAGGGAGATGGTGAGAGGTAGCCCTGACAAAATACAACTCCTTGAAAATCCCCAGAGGTGTTTTGAAGATGATATGAAGGTGTCCCTGATGTCCCACCTGAACCAGTGCTTGCATCCCAGACCCCACTAGGTTATTCCAGTGTGGAAATGTGAAGCACAGCCTCACCACTGAGACTTCTGCTTAGTAAGGCACCTCTCTCTTCAAGGAGGTTATGAGGTGCCTTCCTTGGTAGCAGCCCTCATGGTGGGGCTGTGTGTATGTGTCTTGGGTTTTGGGTGGCTTCAAGATTTCTGTGGGCTCTCCTTGCTCTCTGAATGACACTTGCTGCAGGCTTCAAAAAATACGATTTTTTTTTTCAGTGAAGCCCTGAGGAGCATCAGTGGCTGAAGGTAAGGAAGGGATGGCTCATTTGTCCCTAGAGCTGTGTCAGGGCCTTATGCAGAGGGGTTTCTGCTGGTGGTTGCTCTGGGGGTTAAGAGAGTAGGTGGGCATGTGAATGCAGTCTGGAAAAAGACCCCACACCATGTCTGGCCAAGTAAGAGTTCAAGGTTGTTTGGGTAGGTCCTCATTCCTCAAGGTGCAGGGTCCAGAGTGCATCAGGTAGGTATCTGAGCTGCATTTGTGATTTGTAATTTGTGCCTCTGTCTGGGGAGACGTGAACAAGAACCCAGCCCTGCAGACCTACCTACTTGGTTTTTTAAAAAATACTTTTTAAAAAATCCTATTTGCAAACCTCTCTGGTCACACTAAAGCTGACCTGGCGGTGTCGTGTGGGAAGCCTGTGATGTGGCATGAAGCTTGTAGAGGTATTTAATGTTAATCAAAGGCTGAAGAGTGGTAATGACTGGAATCCTCCTCTGATATCTGCATCTTTTCAGCTGTAGCACCCCGGCAATAAAACATGCTGTAACAATTTGATGAGAGTTGATTTTCATTGTGCAGGAAGAGGGCTGTCCAGGAACAGGGGCAGCCAGCACTGCAGCGCTGCTCCCTATGATAATGAGCTGCTAGTCCTCCAGAGAAGGAAAACATGAATATCCTGACAGGAGAGCATCTACTTGTGCCCTGGAGAGTTCAGATCGTGGGGCTTTTCATGGTAATGATGTGGTCCTGCTCCGGCAGGCGAAGGGAGGAGAGGTATGGGAAGGCACACCCTGTAATTGAAAAGCCACTAAGTCATCTCGGACCTGCAGGGATAGCAGGATGGAGGCAGTGGTTTGCTCTGTCTCCACAGGTCTGAGGCAGAACAGAGGATCCTTCTACTCTCCTGGAGTGGGAAATACAGAGAAACCTCTTCCCCGCGCTGCTGTATTGCTCCCAGGAGGCTACGCTTTTTCTCCTGGGATTATTCTCAAGGGCATGATGAAGGTGGGAAAGGACAAGAGTGGGAGAGAGGAGAATAAATGAAGGAGCCCCAGGAAATTATTTTAAACACCTTTTTTATTCAGATGAAGACTGCCTGGTTCCAGGCCGCAGGAATGACTAAGTGGAAGGGCATGCCTGTTGCTAGGATCCATAGGTACCATTCCTTTTCCCTGGGAATGCCTTGTTTCCCTTGAACAGCATAATACAAAACCATTCTGGCTGACAGGTACTCAGCTGAGTGATAATACATTAAAATTATCACCTGGTAGCCATGAGGAGCCATTGGCTTCAGTATCTTGAATTGTCTGGTGGAAGATCAGTCTCTGGTCCAGGAACGAGAGAGCAGCTGAGATTTACATTTTCCAAAGGGTCTTGTTTGTACCAAGGTAGGAGACCAAGGTGTTTGGAGCCTTGATTTCACTGATCCAAGTCTGGGTGCTGCTACATGGAAACTCTGAACCAACCTACACAGTTGCTCAAGATTACCAAATCCCAGAAGAACACAGACCAGGAGGGACCTCTGGGACCACCCTGCTCAGAGCAGCAGGGCTGGGCTGGGTCTCAAGCAGCACGGTCCTCCAGGCCACCCTAATCTCACCTCCAGGATGGAACATGAACACCACATCCTGGCTATTCCAAATATTGTGGATGGGATTCTCACTCCTCATTTGTTTCAACCATGTCACCTGAGGAGCCATACCCACGCAAGCCATGCACAGGGCAAGGAAAGCCACAGCTTATCCTCATCCCTCCACCATCTGTCTTCATCCCCACCTTTGTGCTCAGTGGTGGGATGCTCTGGCCAGCCCAAAAACAGTCTGGCAAAGCCACATAGACTGCATTTGTCCTACTGCCAGCTGAGAACACCTCAGCAGCTCTTGCCCACCGTCACCCTCACACCATGGAGCTACAGGCAGGACACGGGTGACCCGTGCTGGTGCTGGAGGGACACAGGTGACCCCCATGGTAGCACAGCCTTGCCTCTGAGACACTTCTAATGCTTTCCTCCAGAAAACAAATCTTGTTCAACAGCTTGAGCACTGCTTGGCTGTGTGACAACCAGTTGCTCTGGCAGGTCACTGGGAACAGTTTGTTGCACGATTTCTACAGTTTCAGGGAGGAGAAGCTTCCTCATAGCTGAGAGCAGCAGCGAGTGAGGAGTTCACATGCTGTGATGCACCTACAGAGGACAGGCCCTTGTCAGATCCATCTCTGCTAAGGCCTCAGTGGCCATTTGCGCTGGGAATAGGTCATCTCTGGCTCCAGCTTTCCCCCAACAAACTGGCAAAGGAGGGCAAAGCAAATCCTCCAGCTCACAGCTGCAAGGATCTTCCTGCAGAATTGCCTGTGCAAGAAGGGCCGGGTTTTGGGTGTGCTCCCCTTGGGTGGCACCAAGCCCAGTATTGTGTGAGCTCCCGCTGAAGCAACATGCGGGAAGTGGTGTCAGGGGGACGCCAGCCTGGGGAAGCAGGGGGATGAAAGTGGGACCTCAGGAATGGGTTGTCCACCATGCAGCAGGCTGGGGGTGGTGTCCAGGGGAAGAGCTGCTGATGGTGGGTTTGGGCTGGATTTGGGATGGGTTGAACAAAAGCCACAGGTCAGGCCAGCTAGAAGGATCTGCTCTGATTTGCTGTGTGCTGGTTCCTGTGCTGGTACTCAGCTGCTGCAGGACTTTTGAATTTCCACAAGCCATTAAAAGTCAGGACAAAATGTTGATGGAAAGGTTTTCTCAGAAGCATAAAGTTAGTGTTACATGGATGCTGCTCTTCTCCAAAAACCTTGGTGAGCATTACAGGCTCCCCTTACCCTGCCAGCCATCTTCCTCTGCCACCCACAGCTGCTGCCTCCCTTCTCTGGGTCCAGAGCAGCACAGATGGAAGTGCCCCATTTTCCTGTGCACAAGCAGTTCTGTGATGTGTGCTGAAATCCAAACACCTACTCCCAGGTCACAGAGGTCACACTTTGACCCACCAGCTTTTAGACATGGTGACCACTCAGTTGAGATAACTTTTTGGAACCAAAGAACACTTTAACCACTCCCTTGGGTAAGTCCTCAACGATGTGATGGCAAAGCTCTCTATGTGCATCACTCTCCTTACACAGTCTGAGTGTTTGGGCTTGTGGATTTCATTGTTATAGTCCAGAGAGTTCACATTAACTTCTCAGTTTATTAATTCAGCTTCTTATGTGAAGGAAAGGAGATCTTCCACAGGGCTTGGGGAAGGAACAGTTAACTGCTGGCTAACCCAGCTGCAAACCCAGGGATCCCACCAATGTCTCCAGACCACCACTGCTGCTGTGCTTTACTTCACTCTGTGTTCTGAGGCCACCAAAATCATCCAAAGGCCAATGAAGAGGTCCTGTGGGATGAGGATTTCCCTCTGGTGTGACCCTGACGTGGTGAACCCTGGCACCTGGTGCCCATCCTCCACCCAGTGCAAATGCACAGGGGCCTGCAGGAAGCTGCAGAGGTGGGGCCGCTGTGTGTTCTTCCTCAGTGCTTCAGGACTGGTAGAACAGCTCTTAGAGCACAATTTTACTTGGCACAGGCTGGTTTTGTAATGAAAGAAATAAATAAGTGCCATCCTGCTCTGCTGGGAGGTTGAAGTGTTCCCTTTCTTTTTTTTTTTTTTTTAATGATCTGTTTGCACTGAGGCCAAACACTGAATACTTTGGCCTCAAAAATAGAAGTTTAAACAGGAATTGTAATTGGGAGGAGGATAAAACACAGGCACTCTTGTGCCTTCATCCTTGCTGCCATGAGATTTATAATTTGTTGTATTTTACTTTAGTTTTTCCTTCAAAGTAGAGCTGAGGAAGCGCGTTTGTGCTGCGTGCTGCTGACTCATCAGCTCTGGAGAGAGGCTCGCCCTATATCTGCACTCTGTCTGCACCCCACTGACTCCCAGCCACCCAGGATCCCAAACCAGGCCAGGAGGGAACGTCCCCATGGCAGATGAAGGACAGGAGGGGCAGGGTAGGTTTTCCTGCCCACATGGAAGTCTCCTCCTCTCCCCTCAGTGAGTTTCCTGCAGGCTGGAGGTGGGAGCCAGTGTGGGAGAGGGGACAGGGGCCTGGAGGCCGGCAGTGTGGGAAGGGATGGACCACCTCTACTGGCAGCACCTTGCAGTTAAATCCGAGTTATAATGAAACCATGGGGTAGCATCTCACTCCTTTTCCCAGCAATCTTCCTCTTGGAAGTGCCAATCTGAGTGCTGGTTAGCTCATGTAAGATAAACGTGGATGGAGGATGAGACTTTCATGTGCTGTGCTCAGTACAAAGCAGCAGGTGAAGCTCTACTCTAGCAGAATCGTATGGGAGCATTTCTACCAATTCCAGCAAGAGCCCTGCAGGCAGACAGCTTGCAGGGACAGGCTTGGGGAGTTTCAGGAAGCTTCAAACTAGAGTAAATAATAATAAGCAGAAATAAAATAATAAATCAGAAATGGGTTACCTGCTCTGAAGGAACGGCTCTCATATTTCCTTAAAAAAAAAACCAAACAACAAAAACACCCACTATGTTATTTACAGTCCATTTAACTCACTGAAAAACCCAAACAAACAGAGGTATTAGGTAACTTCCACTTTTTTGATAAAACAAAGCGATTTCATATCATGTTATTCAATGGATGAATTAAAATACTTAATATATTGCTTATACAAGTCTATATACGTAGGATATGTATATTCCCTCAAACACCACAACAAGTTAAAGCAACCATGATTTTTGTGGATGAGGCAGTGTGGAGATGCAAGGCCACCAGCAGATCAGGGATCCCATGTACTCCCAGCTCGGTGGAGAGCTGCAGCAGGACTGGGATGGGCAGTCTGGGACAGTCCTGGCTGCAGGACACCTCTCCCTGCAGTGGGGGAGCCCTGGGGTGGTGGGGCTCAGCACGGGCTGCCTGCCTGAGTGCTCACCTCCTGTCTTGGGAGAGCTGTGTGCTGCCAGGTTGCTGCAGGAGCTGCTTCAGGCTGAGGCTTCCTGTTACAGCTTGAGCCCAGTTAACAGCTGCCAACATCAAAAAGAAGTCCTGCAGCAGGCAGTGTCCTTCTGCCCCTTGCTTGGTGCTGTCTGTGGTGCCTTCTGATCCCCACACAGGGCACATTGTGGTGCCCTGGATGGTTCATGGGATGGACAAAAGCCCGCGGGAAAGAAAATTTTTTAACAGCTTTTTTGGGTTGGGTTAATGTGCCGTCAGCTCCCTGCACCGTCCTGAGAGTGTGGGAAGCAGGACTATCCCACTGTGGTGGTGGCAAGCTGCTGGTTCAGCTTTAGTGCAAGGTGGAAGTGTATCCATAACTGGCTTGTTTGAAATGATCCCTTTCAGCTGTGGCTATAGGAACCACCTGGCCTCCCCGTGTCTGGAGACTGGCTCCGTTCCTACCTGCCTGTCAGTACAGCCATGGGACACCCGGACAGGGCAGGAGACAAAAATCCTTGTCTCGCCCCTTGTGCAAACACTCTGATCTATCCCTGCCTGGCTGCCTTCACGGGACAGCTCTTTAATCATGAGCTTCTTGTGCTAGACTGCTCCTCTGCTGGACTGCTGCACTCCCTGGGCTCTGATGTGATGGCAATGCCAAGTGCTGCCAAAGCAAGGCAGCCGCCTTCGCTTCCTCCAGAGCCCCGCAGGAACCGCGTGCGCTGCTGCTTCCCCAGCCATGGAAGCGGGGAGGCTCTGCTGCTGCTGGCTCCTGTACAGAGCAACAGAGCCACAACAGCTGGGAGTAACAAACCCTGCTTGTTTGTGTTAAATCAGGGATACTGCTGCAAGATAAGGAGATTCAGGTGATTGGTTGACTTATTCTGCTTTCCATGAGCTAGTATCTGAGTCCTCCTGCCTTTCCCTGCTAGGAACGCACAAACCAAGCTCGCGCTGCAATGCCTTATTTTTTCTCCTGGACCCAAATAAATTTTCAATATATAAATTACCAATATCTCTAGCTTCATCCCCCTGTGCATATTTAAAAGAGACTTGTTCACTTACCTTCCTGGCTGCTGGAAAAGGTTTTCTTGATCAGGGAGGTGGTGTGGCAATCCGCTCCAGGCTCAGTGTCCTCTGCCTGTCTGCGGCTGGTGGGTCTTGGAAAACAAAACAGAAGTGATTGAAAGGGAGGGAGAAATGACTGAGAGCTGGGGAGACACTGCAGAGCAGAGCAAAGCTCTTCTGTTTGTTTTCTATCTTTTCAAGTATACAGCAGCCTGTGTAATTTCCTGGCTACAAACTGCAGCTCCTTTCTATCATATGCCAGTAGTTTTGTTGACTGAGTGTCACTAGGATCGCTCATTTGGCCATGCAGTCCCTCCAGCACTGTCCTGTCATTCAAAGATGAGGTATAAAGCTGGTGGTTTTTTGAGTAATTACAGTTTTGTTAAGCAGGACAGGCTGGGGATGTGCAACACACATAGCAGGCACCAGGCACTGCTGGCAGCCCTGCACGGAGGAATTTGGGCAGATGCCAGGAGAGGAGGGTATCAGACCCAAAATACAGCACTGATTTTCTGAAATTTTTGTCCCTACACCACTTTCATCACTGAAATCCAAGTTGTGAAGGAGGTGCAGGGAGGAAAGCATCAGCTATGTGCTATGGAAAAGGCAGATGGATTTTTTTTGTTCTGTTTTTTGTTTGTTTTGGCTTGGTTTTTTTGGGTTGTTTTTTTTTGTAGGTTTTTTTTTGGGTTTTGCTAGTTTTAGTTTCTTCAGTCATCATTAATCTCTGCTTACACAGGCATGTGGAAATGCAATCCATTCCCAGTGCTGTTGAACTGGAAACCTGGAAACCTGGGGGCCACATTGTGCCATCTTGGCTTGCTGACTCACCGCTCGTCCTGCCATCCACAACCTGCCAAGTGCTTGGTGAAGTCCAAGGGAGCATTGCTTTCATCAAGAATGAGTCAAGTAGAGAAAATAAACTAAACATCCAATGCCAGGCCAACTGGGAACTCTTTTGGGAGGATTCTCATTGTTTGGGTAGCTTTTCCTCCTCTGTGGATGCAGTCAAGTCTAACCCAAGTAGTGTTTTACTCAAGGGTGGCTTTCAGGTACGACAGCGGTGTAACTCTGAGAATAAAAATGCTTTTGTGCAGCACCCAATTTCTTCACTGCCACAGTGCAAAACCTTACTCAGCTTCGATAATACAAATAATACATTCCAGGCATAAAAAGCCCTTTATTACTGCTAAGAACATAAATAATTAAAGAAAAAGCTGAGATTTTCCCTGTGCCTTTGTTTTCCCACTACCAGCCGGAAGACAGCTATGCAAGCGGCTGGGCACATGTAAAGCAACTAAAATCACCTCTCCTCATCAGCTTTCTCGAGACAGTTTTAAGCTGCAGTAATGCAACTCTCCCATCACACTAAGCTTTATTGGTTCAGTATAAGAAACTAAGAAACTTCATTGGAGACCAGATTATGCTGGTTGCAAAAGCAGGGGGATTCTTCTGCTCTTCGACCCCATTATCTCCTCCGTAGTGTCTTGATCAGCTTTCTTACACACAGCCTCGGATTCTGCCGAGACCTGCAAATTGCTTTTTTGGCTGCCAAATTGCCATAACCCTTCTATTTTTATATTTTAAAAGAGCTTAAAACCCTCCATCCTCTTTGGATGTGTCTTTAAAATTGACCAGTACTGGAGGATTTCATGTATATCCAAAGGCTTAGAAGAAGATGTTACCTCTACTGAGCTTCTAGTTTTACAGTCAACAGACATGAAAAGCCCAGCAGGGATAAAAGGAACTTAACCAGTTCAGTCTAATGCATATAAATCTACCCTAAGAGCTCAAGGCACTGGAAGTACTCAATGTACTACATTTATCTGAGTGTAAGATACAGAAATGGGTCTTCAGCACACATGCCACATGTCCCATTTTGATGCCAAGTTAATATGAATTAAGAGACTGAGATGAATAAACAAGGTCAGTCTGGGCTGGGCCAAGTTGAATCAATGTAAAATAATTGTCAGTATTTTCTGTCAGCAATGCTGGTTTATCTTGGCTCAGGAGTCTCGGTGCTATAGATTATAAAATGTTTTCAGTGGAACAGTTGGCAGACATTTTATTGATTTTTCTTTGTTTTGTGAATGCTGGAAAAATTTCCATTAAGCATACACGCCGTTCATGTGATGAAGCCAAATTGCTTTTTCAAACTTTTCTTTCTTCAAGTGTGCTAATGCATTAATACATTAGCAACCTAATTTAATCAAGAGGACCTTTGTCTGGAATCAAGAGGCCATGGAGCACACCTTGATGCATCTTGAGCACTTATGGGCTAAGAAGAGTTAATTTTGTATTTTCAAGGTGCAGTATGCACACTGACTGATTAATTTGCCCCTCTGAATTTGGTAATGTATTATCTCAGTTTTATAGATGTAGAAATTGAGAGTGCAACTTTGCACAAAGCCATCTATATCTGCCTGCTGTTGCATTCTCAAGGCACATGAAGCTCCTGGGCTGAGCAGTGGTGAAGAATGAGAAGGAAGAGAAGGAAGAGAGGGAAAGAGAGGGAAGGCTGCAGCAACCAGGCAGGAACAGCACTGGATCCAGCTGAGCTGCTGGGTCCCACTTCTGACATGAATTTCCTCTGCTACATTGCCACATCCCTGCATCACACCTATTAATAGAGTTAATTTGGAACTGAAAACTGCTCAGGCAGATAGAGCAGCTGTTAGGATTACACCTGGACCTGGCAGACGTTATTCCTCAATCTATCTTCCTGCTATTTTAAGATTTGATTTGCTTCCTGGTTAAAAAGGACTTTTGAAAAAGGTGGAAGCCATAGCAGTGATGAATTCTTACCTGAATTGCACAGAACAGTCAAGTAGGAGTAAGAAATCAATTTAATGTTGTTTTTTATGTGACACAGAAAAGGGGATGCTGTGGGATAGCTATAATTCCCTCCCTCTATGCTGATCTAATAATCGACATACAGGTCTGAAAGATGCTGTTAGAACTTCCTAAGTTTTGGCCAGTGATGCTACCAGTTCAAAATATACAGACATGAGCTTAAATAAAAACTTTGTAAAGAAGTAGGAATGTGTGTATGTTTAAGAACATAACCAACAATAAAGTTTTATGATAAAAATCACTGTGATGATAAACGCTTTTGCCTTCTATCTTAATAACTTGTATTAAAATAATAGCTAGCCCAATTAAAATGGGAGTAGTTCTGGTTTGGGGGATGGGGACTAGGTAGATGGATAATGAGTGAAAAACCCCTCCAACGTAGTTTCAAATACATCCTGACACTGCCAACAAGTGGAAGATATTTAAGCCCACAACACATTATGGTAAGGAAAGAGGATGACACACTGATGGGGAGGAAACCCACACTGCAGCTATCAAGTAGCAGTGGCAGAGGCGTGAGTGCAGTCACAGCTCTGTGTGACTCTGGTGCCAGACTCTGACATGGTCACAGGCACTCACTGGTTGACTCACCCAGAAATAAGCAGTCTCACAGGCAGCTGATCAGCTCCTTTGTGTGGCTGAGGGAATCAGCATGCTACCTTGGTCCTCTGAACAACAGCATCCAAAATATTCTCCTCAAGTACAGGCTTCTGCTGCAGGGTTATGCTGATCAAAATGTTTTCATAAACAGATAATAAGAATAATGGGAGGACATGAACTTCCAGGCTAAAACATAGCTGGCACTTGGAAAGAGAGAAGGCAATGGTCAATGCCAAATGTAAGCCAGAGGTGAGATCTTTATCTTATAAAATTATTCACTGGACTGTGCATTGTTGGTGGTGTTTAACTGTTATTTTATGTTAAAGAAATCAGGCAGCAAATGAAATTCTCCTTTCTGGAATGTTGTCCTGAAATCTTTACTGCCCATAACTTTGTGTCTCTGTGTGTATGGCTCAGAAAGCTGACAACAGCTCTCCACTGGCAGCAACACCACTGCTGCTTCCATAAAACATCATGGAGTTAAATCAAGAATAAGTTCTTAGAGAAAGAAACCCTTGAGATTGTTTTATGAATGATTATGTTGTTTCTAGCCTTTTCTTCCATTTTCTGTCCCTGTCTTCATCCCAGATTATGGCTTTCCTGGTTAAGCAAAGGAGATGATGATGTGAAGAGTTAGTTGAAGTGATTTTTTTAATCACACAGCCTGAAAACTGGGCTTCAGTAACACATATGGAGGTGTCAGACTCCCTGAAGGGCATCAGAAACAAGGTTTATTAGGCAAATGAAATGTGTCTTCTGCTAGTCTTCACAGGGGCCTTGCTTGCAACTTCTGCCTAGATGTAACTCATGAGATATGCCTCAGCTGTCCCGAGAGCTGAAATACAAGGAAGAAAGAAAAATGTGCTGGAGATGAGCTTCCAGAAAGCTGAGTGAAATGCAGATTTGAGAGAGTATCTGGGACTGACAGGGGTGTTTGTGTTAGAAATGAAGTAATGTAGTAATTGGTGTGAGTAGCTGGTACAAAGATGTAAAGCCAAGGCAGATAACAAGAGACTCTGAAAGAAGAAAGAACATCTATTGGATACTCTTGCTGAACAACTGCAAAGGCATGGTGTGGTCTCTTACAGGAACTTGAAGAACCACTGCTACCCAGAAGATGCCAATTACAAACCCAGAAGTCTCTGGTAGTGCTGGAGTATCTGGGACAGAGAGATGAACCACTGCAATGACCGCAGAACAGAGAACAGCCCTATTTATGTAGGGTCCAAACACTAAAACTTCCTTTTTTATAGAGATTTCTTCACATGAAGAAGTCTGATGCAGACTTGACAGCAGATGCATTGTAGAAGAGCAGCTCTGTGAAACTGGAGGCAAACCAAGCCACAGCTGGGTGCTTGTAACCATCTGTGGCTTTTTTTAAGCACAGGGGAGAAGTTGTTGGAGTCACCTGTCCCTCAGCAGGTGACCTTCCCAGCTGGCTGGTGTTGTCACAGGGAGTGCCTTCGAAACCTAAACTCTTGTTGGCAGGCTTCAAGCAGCTGTGGCCAGCCAGGAGAGCCGTGAGAAGTTTTCTTCCATAGTATTGTAAGCGGCCACCAAAATCTCTGGTCTCTCCTGGTGGAGATCAGCACTATCTCTGGGTGTCTGCAGGTGGAGGAGCTGGTGTATGGGTGGGAGCTTGCTTTATGCTCTCCAACCAAAAGCCTTGGGAAATCCCAGCCATTTATGCAGCTCTGGTGATTACAAGGATCCACTCCTGAGGCTTAGCAACTTATGGTGACCCACCTGGGAAGGCGCAAGCAAACATGGTCAGGTGGGGAGCCCAGGAGTCGGGGCAAAGTTGAGCTCTCAGCCTCTCTCCTGAGACGCCTGACGAAGGCAGACGTGGGACTGCCAGAGATGTGTGAGTCATAGCAACCTCTGAAAGGGAAAAGGTGAGCAGAAGGGAGGGAGGACAGCGTGTTTATACCTTGGGATCAGAGGCGTGTTGGGATCAGCCTCAGCTCTGGTGCGCTGCTAAAGGAGCTCCTTTTATTGGAGCACTTGGAGAGCCCTCTGGAGCCTCCAGCCTCCAGCATTGAGACTGTCTTTATAATTTGCCCCTATCAGTACAGTGGTATCTTCATCCCAAAAGTTAAGAAGGAATAATTGTGCACAGTATTTTTAAAGTCAGGCCCATCTCCAAACCCATTAGATAGCTCTGAAAGCTTTAGAGCGTGTCCCGTATCCTAAAAGTTGTAGGCAATGCATAAAATAAATACTTCACTAATGGGGTGCAGTTGGTAAAATGAATTTAACACTGAACACTGAAAAAGCTCAAAGTCCCCATGTGAGGGGAGCCAGAAAACTAGTTAACATACAGATTTCCAGAAAGAGAAGGAAATGTGTGTTTTGCCCACATGAACTGTGTGTTCAGCACAGTTATGTACAAACAGCTGGGATGAATGCAATGTGGAACTTCAATGTCATACTCACACCAGATTTACTAAAAACATTCCTACAGACAGTAGGCATAGAAAATAAAAATAAGTCTACATAAGTTTATATACTCACAGGGAACAAATAATTGTTTTTTTCTTTTCTATCAAGAATGCACAAAGGAAAATAACAAAAATGCTTTTTGAATCTTTGCCGAAGTGCTGTTCCTTTTTAATTTCCTATCCCTTGCAAGGTGGTGTGCAGGTTCACCAGCAAAGAAAGCATTGGAAAAAAATCCCAGTTATCAGAACTGTTGTTTCTCTCATAGCTAAGTTCAAGGTCTTAATCAGCTTCTGAAGAAGGGCACTCTCAAAAGATCTTCCCAGGGATTTTGATTACAGGCTAGTGATGTGCTTACAGAAATGTGTAAAGATCATGTCAGGTTTTCAAAAGTTCTGTTCACCACCTGCAACTGTTCATTTGCTGCGTTTCCATTGCTGCATTTCTCTTTTCTCCACATTCAACAAGCAAGGCTGCCTTTGCCCAGATGATTTAGTTTGAAAATGGCTGTGCGAGTGTGTATTAAAAGCTTGCAAATTGTCTATGTTTCTGGAGATTTCTTTGTGTCTATGCAGTGCCCTCTGGGCTTCCAGGTTTTTCTTAAGTTCTTAGTGTGCTCATGTTTTATTGTGCTTACAATCACGATGAAGACAACAACTGCAGTTGTCAGGAAGGTTCAGAATATCAAACATACATTTTGAAACAATTCAGAACTCACCTGTGGGACGCTGGTGGTCTGTCAGCAGGGCCGGGAGCAGGCAGGTTGCACCCTCCTCCCTGCTCTGGAGATTGGTCAGCGAAAGCTTCACAAGATGGGTCCTCTTCATCTGACTGCCCCAGAAGTTCTGTGAAGACGAATCAGGATATGTTATCACACTTACTTCATCTGAAAGTACCAACCAAGCTGCCAACTGTTTGCCTTGGATGCCGGTAAGGACAACGGTGTCCTCTCTTGCAAGGGACCAAACTGAATGGAAACCCAGATGCTTCCACAGCTTTCACCCTTGGCTTTTCCCTTGAAAAGGAGGCCAAGGAGCCAATGACCAGCAACAAGAAACAGGTCCAAGAGTTTTTGAAAGACAGAGACTGTGTATTGGCTGTAGTTAGCAAGGAGGAAATGCCTTCTCTAAATTGTCAGCTACAGAAGGTCCAGCTGGCTGCTGCATGAGCATTTCCCTGATGCCGTAGGGATCAAAGTCTTATCAACTGGACTAGTTCCTCAGAGGGGTAGGTGTAACTCCTTCCTTTAAAAATAAAGGCTCCCCTAGCTCTGTTCTAAAATATTTTGGTTCACAATCAAGACCTGAAGGCTTCAGTAGGTGAAGCATGGTCATCCAATTCACAAGTTCCAGTCTGAGCACTGTGGTAAAGGAAATGGTTTAAAAATATCTGAACTACTTAAAAATATAGAGGAGGAATCGCATATTCTGAGACTTAAATAAATAAAAAATTTAATCAAACCACAGGCTAGCAGAGTTTGGATTAAGGAAAAATAAAATCCTGTTACAGATAAAGACTTTAAAAAGATTTTTCTCAAAATCATAAGACCCTTTTGCATTTTTTCTCCTTCTAATCCTGTTCTTCTCCCCTTGTTCTCTGCCTTCTTGGATCCTGTGTAAGCTAATCTGCATAATACCCATGGTGGCACTGTGGGCAGTGGGGAGGATGTAACACCCTGCTCACGCTGTTGGTTTACATTTCATCTGGAGACCCAGAATGCTCGCTGGCTTAGGAGGGAAAATCTCCTCGTAAGCATCTCTGAACCTCTGAATCCAAAAAATCCAGCACCGTGGGATTGCTGTGGACTATTCCTACTCTTCATGACACCTAAATATTACTGGCATCTGTGGTGTGAGGGAGGGTGAAGTGTGGCAAGGTTTGGCTTTCCCAGGTAGATGATGCTGTTTGCGCTGCTGGTTCCCACCTGCGGAGCAATGTGGGAATGGTTGAAAATGGCCAACTCGGTCGAAGGCAGCGCACCTCAAACACACACACCACACTACAATAAATAAAGGTGCTAAACCAGCACTGGTGCAATTTCTCCTCTATCTTGAATAAAAAATCCAAAGAGAAATAAAAGCAGAGGAGAAAACAAATGTACGGGCAATGCTTTACATCTCAGAAACTCAAATCCAGGGAAGTAAGGGAGGTTTCTCTGGAGATCTCTTCCTGGAGCCTTGCAGAATGAGAAGCCAATAGAAGGAGAGGAACAGTATTGAGAACTTATAAAGGTTTGTGAGAAGCTGCTTTTCATATCCATGAAGAGCTCTGGGAAAGGGCTTAGACAAAATTCCTGTTGATGGGAAAAAAAATAATTAGGCAAGATCCACTGCAGGTCTTGTGCCATAAACTTTGACACAGCTCTCACTGCTGTGCTCCCACCTGGAACTGAGTCTTTGGTCCTGAAGAGCCTCTCTCTTCACTTGGCCAGAGCTTGTGAAGGAACAGAATGTTAAATCTTTGAATTTGCAAAATGTCAAAGCTCAGATATATGGTGTGAGTCAAGCATCTGTAATTCATTTTTCTTTTCTCTTTTTTCCCTTTTTCCACTTAGTAACATCTAAGGCCTACACAACTTACCCCTTAAAGCTACAAACTTTCACCAATATATGATGTCCATGACTTCTTCTGAGCCACCTCTCCTGAGGCTAACCCAGCTCCAAGGAGTGGGAACATTTCAGAACATAAAACCCTGAGAGGTGATGAAAGGGAAGTGCGTATTGAGAAAAGAAACAAACCAGAATTGGGTCAGCTTTTTCTTGATCTCTTTCCATCACACGACTGATCTGTGTTTTCTTGTCTCTGCTGAGAACCAGTGCTGAGTAAATCCCAGTTCTCACACCAATCACTTCAGTGTGACATGCACGTGCTCCAGGTGGTACCCAGCAGCTTTTTAATGTGGAGTGGGCTATAATTTGGATGTATAGAGTCCTTGTGTGCCATATTTCTAATATATGAATGCTATGAGCAATTAATTATAGCATGGCCAGTGACTCTGATATTTTATGCTGTGGATGTAGCACAGGCACACCTTAAATAATGCTACTGGATCCATGGGAGCCTCATGGAAAACAGAGCAGTCTCATCTGCAGGCACAAAACCAGGGGAAGATCAGGGTTCTTACCCACAGGAGTGTAAATAGATTTCTTTGCACTTTCATATCTAAAATAAATATCTTGAACTGACCTCAAGTTATGAGCATTGAACCTATCGTGGTCTGGGGATACAGCTGCAGTGTGGATGCCAGGACTGGTTAATAGCCACAAAACCATCAGATATGAGCTATAGAGTAAAGAAATAAATATTTTTGTTGTAGGACATGGATTCTGCTCCCCGTGAGAGGTACTAAAGCAGGAAGAACAAATGCACAAGGAACACTGTTTAAACAACACAGCTCTTCCCAAACTAGAGGCAACATACCCCACTTTCAATTAGAAAGGGAAGGACTTTGGCAACAATGCCACAGAGCTGGGAGAGGGTGGTGGTCCTCACATTTATCATGAGGGCTCTGGCTAGGGTTTGGTGCTTGAGAGAGATCTGACTTTGCACTAGCACTGGAGAGATCATAAGTTTCACTTAAGATTTTATATTCAGCCAATCGCAGATATTCCTTTGCCTTATTGCATAATAAGGCTGTTTAAATTCTAAACTATTATTTGCTTAACATGCTAAGGTCTGGGGATTTCAATCTGAATTTGAATTTCAAAAATCTGAGAGTTGTTATTGTGCTAATGTTGTGGTTTCATCATTAAAGTAACTTATCAGATGTAATAATACAAACTTTTTGTGCTAAAATTATTTTAAAAAATCCCACTTGTCTTGATCAATATTGGGATCCCAACCATACAATGACACAATGCATATCTACATTTCCAGAATTCAGTGGTAACTGCTATTGCTACATCTCACACCTGTCTGAAAGAGCCAAATATCTTTCTTTACAAGTCCACTGAAAGTTCTCCTACGCCTTAATGAGCAGGATGCTCTCTAGGTAATGCTTGCAGGTGATGAGATATCACACCTTGCCTGCTCACACATCTGTCATTATTTAACCATATCTATTCTCTTTTGAATCTGTGTCTGCAAATCGGAAGCTGTTCCCATTCTCCAGGATCCTGCACTGGACTTTCAGGGATAAAAATGCATTTCAAAACGTGCAAATCCATGGTAAAACGAAAATCTCCTTTTAATATTGTTTGCAAAATTGACAGCTCTACTTAACAGCAGCCATTAAATTATTTACAAAGTAGCAGCTGCTCTTGTAGCAGCCTTTTTTGGGCGTGAAAAATAAACTGGTTGATAAGTGAGAGATAAGCCATTTGACTTCCTCTTTGTGTGCCTGGCATGGTGCTCAGAGCCAATTCTGTACAATCTGATGTTTACAGAGCAATCCTCGTACGACCTCCTTAGGCAACAGGGACACAAGAAGCCTTTAAAACGCTGAAGCAAGCATTTAATCAGAACTCTTCATGCTGATCTCTGAAAAATTCAATAAGTTCAAAAAATGTAGCTCCTTCTAAAGATAAAATATCATTCTCTTGCTTCAGGAATTGCAAATATATCCCAATGAACTCCCAGCGAACCACACAGACTTCAGCCACATGGCTGTTTTACTAAAAGAAAGAGAGGTAAAGAGTAACATTTTTCCAAGAGAAACAAATCTGAAGAAATGCAAATAGTTAATTCAAGTGAGTGCTATAAAACAGCAGAGTTAACTAACAATCACACTTCTTTTCTTTTAAGCTTTTAAACAAATTCAATTTTTTTTTTAGTTGAATAGCTAATTCTATGTAAATAAGTTCATATCCCCTCTTGTTAGGCAGTAACTCTTGGGGTTTTTTAGCTTTTTGTTTCTTTTTTTAATTTAAGTGGTTATTTTTACCTGTTGAATTCAAGCTCTCATGATTTTATGAGGCTTTAGGGATTTTTTTAAAGGCTAATAACTGCTGAAAAAGGCATGAGATTGAGCATGATTTCACACATTATCAAGTTGTGGTAGCTTAATGCTATCCCAAGTTTTCTCAAACTACATTAAGCTATTTTTGAAGCCACTGCATCAAATTCTCCTGGTATCAAATCAGTGGGAACTTCCATTGCTGATTTGAGCATGGTCAGCTCTTTTTTCTGGCTTTCTCCTGAAAACACCTTTCTAAATAAACATGTTCCAATAAAATTATTTCATTTCAAAATATTCTTGTAGGGAAACCACAGAGCTTTATTTGTGAGTGTAGAAAAATGTAACTCTAAACTTCTTTGCTTCTTGTGGGCTAGTTTTCCATGAATTTTCATTTTAGATTATTTTTGTGTTGCTTTGTAAATTCCCAAGGCTGAAATATTTGCATTTGACAAATACAAATTGGTAAAAATATTGGTTTTATAGTACTTCTAAAACTCATGGAGAACAGCTGTTACTGTTTAGAGAGCTGGATAAGATTATTCCTGAAATTAAATCTGAATATCTCACAGTTCTGTTGTTTAACATTTAGATGCCTGAGAAGATGAGGCACTTCAATCACTTCTAGTAGAATCAATCAATTTTTTTAGCATTTTGGTTTTTTTTTGTTTTTGTGGGTTTTTTTTGTTTGTTTGTTTGTTTTGTTCTTGGTTTTTTTTGTAGTGTAGACAGTTACACTTCACTTAGCAGTTTTCTGCAGCTCTCTGTGAAACCTGGTATTAAAACTTTCTGCAAATGGAAATGCTATCTTTACTACCATTGGCTGAGATTTCCATCTCTACTACTCATTTGCTCTAATCATACACAAAATTAAGCTAACCACTATACTGCCTGAATAGTTAATTTTATATCTCCCTGGAGACTAAAGTAGTCAGGTTTCTTAGGAACTAA